CTCAACGTGTTTTTGCACTGTGGGAGGAAGCTGGAGAGAACCCACACTGGAGAACTCATGCTGCACAGGGATGCAAACTCCACGCAGAAACATCCTGGGTGTCCTCACTGGGATGCGAACCGGCGACCTTCTTGCTGCGAGGCAACAGTGCTGCTACCAACTGGTCCCATGGCTGTAAATGCCAACTTTCAGGAGCGCTGCCTTGGAGCACTTTTGTGTCCCCGCCAATGTCAAAATCAAACCTACTCCCTTGCAATCAAGAACAGCAACCTGAGTGCCAAAATAAATCCTCCTCTCGCCCCTACATGAGGGTGCAAGGCCTTTTCCTCAAGCTTTGGTCCTTTGCTTGAGGCCTGGGAGATTGAGGGTTCTGCGCGACATCTTAGCTATCCCCAGAACTGCACTCTTGTGGACAAAGACCTCAGATGTTGAGCCTGAAATCTGCTGAAGCAACTCTTCCAGTTTGGAAGTCACATGGCCCAATGGCCCTAAAACCACTGGGGTCACTGTGGACTTTACTTTCTGCATCGGTTCTAGTTTTTGCTTCTATCTGATGTTACTGTCAACTGGGAAATCCTCTTTTGGTCAGCTATGTCTCTGTCAGTTTTATTAACCAGCACCTCTTTGTCAGCCTGAAACTTGAAATCTCACAGGATCTTAAAGCAGACACCGAGTGAGTCACTCTTTAAGCATTAAGGGCACCGATGTATCCTAATACCTCTAAAATCTACAATGTAAAGTGCAACACCCAAATATTCATGTGAAAATAGATACTAAGATTAGGTTGTATTTCTAAAAAAACAAGTGGGTCGGTCACAGAAGTTATAACAAATCCTGGGATTGGTTTACCTTTCATAGCGCGTTACATATTAGAGCTGTGTCCTGATATGACCTTAAATAAAGGGCTCCTCCTATTTAACTGTCACAGCACGCTATGATACTGATCAAATGTTGCATGCATTCGTCAGTGTGAGTCAGAGTACAGCATGTTCTAATTACAGTCAATGGGTGTTGGAAAATCTATTGTGCGGTTAACTAAACAATTCACTACTTAGCTGTTAATTTGATCCTGTGAAGGTGTAATGGGAAATAAAGGAAGGAAAAAGTTAAATCTGATATGATAGGAACTAAGAAAACAAATAAAATCTGCAAATTTACTATAATATAACAGAATGAAAGGGAAGATTTATCTTGATTCACTAGGAAGTCTCCAAAGGTCCTTTGTTTAGAGTTTCAGAACCGGATGTCCAAATTTTTATCTGAACTGATTGGCAACACCATAACACTAAATCCATTTTTGCTGCTTCTCGTAATGATTTAAAGTTAGGAGTGAGTGCTAGACAGCGCAAGTTGGTGCTGGGAAGTCTCACACCTGCCAAAAACCAGTTTGTTGAACAGCTTGTGATCTTTTTACCATGAATTGGCTGATATATTTACATGACATAGCACTACCTGAGCTGTCTACTTCCCAAAATTAAACTCTTTGGGTCATGAATAGAGGGACGCAACATCCCTATTATCTATACATCGCTTAATCCTCACTAGGGTTGCAGGGGGGCTGGAGTCTATCCCAGCTGACGTAAGGTGAAGCAGGGGACACCCTGGACAAGTCACCAGTCTATCACAGGGCTACACTTAGAGACAGACAACCAAGCACACTCACATTCACACCTACGGACAATTTAGAATCACCAGTTAACCTCAACATGTTTTTGGACCTTGTGGAGGAAGCTGGAGAACCCAGAGAGAACCCACACTGCACGGGGAGAACATGCAAAACCAGGTGTTCTCACTGCGACATGAACCAGCGACCTTCTTGCTGGGAGGCAACGATCCTAAGCACTGTGCCACCTTGCAGCCCAGGACACAACATGCTACACCTTAGTACACATAAATACTGTATGACTGATGAGTCAATGGGGGACCCTGAGATGGATTGTTTGGGAGCAGTTGTTTGGAGGATGCTGACATTGATGGGGAGGAATAGGGTTAAGTTATATTTGTTTAAAATCACACAAAGTTTTAAATGATTGATGTCAGTCATATGTTGTTCTGTGCAGTTTCTGTGTTCCCATGTCTCTACAATGGAAGTATAGAGTGCAAAGTTTGCGTTTGTCATTGAGCCACATTTATGAAAAATATGTCAAGTTGAAATTAACCGGAATCATCCTATAAAGCAGATCCTGTCGTATACTGTTACTCACCCTCAAGGCTATGGATGTTCTAAGACAAACTGGATACCAGACACTAAAGATGCCACCTGCTCGGATGAAATCTCCCCACGTGGAGCATGAGCTGTGAAGGTTTCTCGGTTCAGGTTTGCTACTGCTTTGTGCAGCCCAGCTCACATGTGCATTCGTGTTTCCCCTGCCCCCTTCCTGCATTATCATGATATCAAAAACATTTTTTCTAGGAGCTGGAAAGAGTTTACAAATATAAAACCTCTGTGGATTAAAATTCAGACAGTCAAATCTGGCCTCGTCTGCAGTTGGAGGTCAAATGTCAGATGCTGTCTCTTTTTTCATTGTGATCTATGGGAAAGGTGCTTTTTGGACTGAGGGAAAGTATCACGAGAGAAACAATGCAGCTCTTTTAACTATATATGCCAACTTGTACAGAATGCCTGTAAATTATAAAAAATGTACCCACTTTAAACCTATACATAAAATCATACGGCTTATAAAAAAAAAATCACATATATGTGTGATAAAGGTTGAGCCTGGTCTGATACAGCCAGCAGCAGACTGTGTTGTGCTGTAAAGCATGACTTCTGGTACAACTATATTTGACGGGGCATCAGATTTGGGATGCACAAACATCATCATCCGTGACTGATTCTCCATCTGATGCAGCTTTGATTTAAATATTGCTTTGCATCATGCACACCGGATGTTGCCACTTGATTGCCAGTATAATGATGCAGTTAAACATCGCTTTTGTTGATTTATTTATTTATTTTTTAAATAGAGAATTAATAACGAACATATCTAACATATTTGATTATGTCACTTTTTTTGCATTCTGCTAAATTTTTAAGCAACAATTTGTGCCTTTTCTGCATCAATTTATGGTGGAAATGTCTGTATTTGCACATAGAATTGTGGCACAATGACTACAGTGGGGTTTTTTTTCAAATTAAAAGTCTCGTTGGTTTTGCTGCCATCTATACATGTATGTATGTATATAATATAGATTTTTTCCCCCCCATTCTGTGTCATAGGTGGTCATCTGAAGGGACTGACATGTATGATTCTTGAGGCCCTGTCTTTTTACATTAAAATATAACTTCCACTTAAACAGAATTGCTTTTTGTTTGTGTCTTTTCACGTCTTTGCTATGTTTTGTTATCATGTGTATTATCTCAATTTCATTTGCAACATTTCATCATACATAATATTACTCTATATTACCCCAACTACCTCAAAATCATTGCCAGTACTACTTCTTTTTTTTTTTTATTCTAGTCTCATTTTAGCTTACTTATTCGTTTTTTTATTGTCAGAAATGTATCAGATAGATAGATTTGCAATGTTACAGCAGCAAAGATAGTGCAAACATATAAGGAATAAAGTGTAACCACAACAACAACAACAACAACAACAACAATAATAATAATAATGATAATCATTAAAGACAGATAGATACTGTATTCATCTCCTTGGGGAAATTAAGATACTTGTACTTATATCTTTCCACTCTCCACTTAGACACCTCATTTATTCTTATGTTATCCTGTCATATCTGTACACATGTGTAAGTAAAGTATACCTCCAAAAGGTGTTTGTCTTTTATTATATCTTTGTTTTCAGCCTTATTGTACTTTTGTTAACTCTTGTCCTGATTCTTCCTGCTGTAACTTGCATTTCCCCAGAGATGGACCACCGCAGTTATGTGATCTCAAAGTTAAATGTTGTACATGATACTGAAAATGTAACGTCTCTATTCATTTCAGCCTCGGCTGATGTGAAAACCGGGCGGCCCAGGAGCCCACTCTGGCCCCGGGGCCTCGCAGGAGGTGAACCCGGCAGTGATTCAGGGACTCTATCGGGGCTGCGCGCACTGATTTGTCCGCTCCTCAGTCAGCATGATGGCTGCAGGCTTCACTGTGACCAAACTCGGTCCGTTTTCCTGCCGACTACGTACTACGGTGCTTTGGAAACGCGCTGCCGGTATTTATTTATTTTTATTGGAGGCAGCGCGGTGATGGCGGAGGGTTGGCCGCCGTCGCTCCTCCCGTGTTCCAGAGAGTTCTGGGGGGGAGCGTCGTGGAGGAGGCGCGGCCGCTCCCACTCACACTGACAGCGGGGAGCCGGACCTGTCGCACCCAGACACACTCAGGGGGAAAGCAGCCTGCAGCATCAGTTACAGCCGCTCTGAAGCCACAGGTTGTGAATTTACCGGAGGTGAGTATCGCTTGGTGAACTTTTTAAATTAATTAATGAATTAAATTTTGTAATAGTGGTTCCGTCCATTAACGCCATCACCGTTAACGGCTGCTACGTTGTTTATCAACAACTTAAGCTAGCTTGATTTCTGTTTAGCTGATTAGCTAATATAGCCGCCACACATCTCTACTTTCCTTCGCCTTCAGCTAACTTTTACTAACGTTAATGTGCATTATAACTGCCATTTGCTTCATATCGACGTTACTTGTCGTGACCAACGACAGGTATGAAATGATGCTCCTGCTTCGTGTTCCAAATCAGGCTGCATTTTGTACTAAAAGATTAGCAGAGTTGCTAAAATGCGTTAAAGTTGCATGAAGTGAAAGCAAAGCTCCAGAAAGTTCCCTGCCTCTTGAAATATTTGGTGACACGCCCTCCTGCTCTGCTGAGGCGAGATGCAGCATGATTGTGGTGATTTGTAAACCTGCTGGCCCACATTTTCTATCACCACATCCCTGCCACCGAAACCAGATTAACTTAAACAACTATAAGCAACAATGGTGAGGTGCTGTGGCATTAACATGAGTCACCCAGAGATGCTTAAACGTATAATTATCTGCAGCATGAACTTGCATGTTTTGTCATATGCTTTTGTTGTTCAAAATAAACTTCTGGTTTTTCAACCCGTCACTTTAAGGACATAAGGCTCACTTTGTGTATTAGCACAGAGCAAAATAAACCTCACTCATAATCATTAATATCACTATGTGTTAAAATACTCATCATTTAGACTATAAAGGTTAAACAATGCTAAAACTAGCTAAGTTTCTAGAGCCCAAATTGATGCCATCAGATGTCATGTTGATGCCAACAGTCCATATATATATATATACAGTACAGACCAAAAGTTTGAACACACCTTCTCATTCAAAGAGTTTTCTTTATTTTCATGACTATGAAAATTGTAGATTCACACTGAAGGCATCACAACTATGAATTAACACATGTGGAATTATATACTGAAAATATGTCTTATATTCTAGGTTCTTCAAAGTAGCCACCTTTTGCTTTGATTACTGCTTCGCACACTCTTGGCATTCTCTTGATGAGCTTCAAGAGGTAGTCACCTGAAATGGTCTTCCAACAGTCTTGAAGGAGTTCCCAGAGATGCTTAGCACTTGTTGGCCCTTTTGCCTTCACTCTGCGGTCCAGTTCACCCCAAACCATCTCGATTGGGTTCAGGTCCGGTGACTGTGGAGGCCAGGTCATCTGGCGCAGCACCTCATCACTCTCCTTCTTGGTCAAATAGCCCTTTCACAGCCTGGAGGTGTGTTTGGGGTCATTGTCCTGTTGAAAAGTAAATGATGGTCCAACTAAACGAAAACCGGATGGAATAGCATGCCGCTGCAAGATGCTGTGGTAGCCATGCTGGTTCAGTATGCCTTCAGTTTTGAATAAATCCCCAACAGTGTCACCAGCAAAGCACCCCCACACCATCACACCTCCTCCTCCATGCTTCACGGTGGGAACCAGGCATGTAGAGTCCATCCGTTCACCTTTTTTTGCGTCGCACAGAGACACAGTGGTTGGAACCAAAGATCTCAAATTTGGACTCATCAGACCAAAGCACAGATTTCCACTGGTCTAATGTCCATTCCTTGTGTGTGCAAAGCAGTAATCACAGCAAAAGGTGGCTACTTTGAAGAAACTAGAATATAAGGCGTATTTTCAGTTGTTTCACACTTTTTTGTTCAGTATATAATTCCACATGTGTTAATTCATCGTTTTGATGCCTTCAGTGTGAATCTACAATGTCAATAGTCATGAAAAGAAAGGAAACTCATTGAATGAGAAGGTGTGTCCAAACTTTTGGTCTGTACTGTATCTCAAAATAGCTGCAAATCATCATCAATTATGAGGGTGCCTCAAAAAGGCCTCAGCGACTAATGTCACAGGGAAAAGATTATTCTTGCATCATTTTTTAAACATGGTCTCCTTTAACTTCAGTGCTCAAAAGTGATGTAAGGCTTCATGATATACAGTTATGCCCCAAAATGGGAGTCACACCCCTTGTTTCCCTGGGTGACGCTGACACCTTTTTGAACTTGTGTGTGTGTGTGTGTGTGTATCTATATATATATATAAGAGAGAGAGAGAGACAGATTGTATCAGCTGTGATTTGCATTTTGCTAACCCGATCAATCCTCTCATATGACTGCATTGACCCTGTGCTCCATTAGAGGAGCCTTTAGTTTACCAGGAAAACCTTTGCGGCTTGTTGTTGTATCCTCCCGTGTGGCTTAACATTAGGCTAGCATTACAGTGTATTGATGATCTGCTGCTGTAGCAACAGTAAACATTAAGTCTGGGCCAAAAGTGTAACTTTTCTTGGTCTTTCTTTTTCTTTTTTTCTTTTTTTACGTCACAAAATTTTTCAGGTTATTATACTCTTCAATTTATCCAATAAACCCTTCTCTGCTTCTGTGTCCTCTTTTCTTTCAGTAAATCAAACAGTATTGAATATAGATATTATATAATAGTGACTAAAGGTCATTCAGGTTCATATATTCTAGTTCTTTAGAATAAGACACAGAGCAGCTGCAAGTCCACTCTGTAGAAACTTAAATAAGAATGATAATTAAATTCAATAAAATGTCAATTTGTTGTGGTTATCGGGCTATATTAAGTCTGCATCTTGGAGCAGGCTCATGCCTCTCTGTTGTCCGTTGTTGCCATAATAAAGGCACTTGTTGCCAAGCCGTCTGACATGAGAAGGCTTGAGAACAGGTGTTGGGGACCTTCCCTTCACTTAGATGGTTTATTTCTACTTCTGTTTGAGCAGGTCAGACTCTGATAATAGCCCCATTACCCCATACTGCAAATGTGCATCATGGTAGCTGCCCACAAGGCTTCGAGAGCTTCAGCTACTCATCTGTCATTATGTCCAGATTAACAGTTGATCATTTTTATATTCCCAGGAACCATGTCTAAGGGACCAGCAGTTGGCATTGACCTGGGCACTACCTACTCCTGCGTGGCAGTGTTTCAACATGGCAAAGTTGAGATCATTGCCAATGACCAGGGAAACAGGACCACGCCCAGTTATGTTGCCTTTACTGACACTGAGAGGCTGATTGGGGATGCAGCCAAGAACCAAGTTGCCTTGAACCCCAACAATACAGTATTTGGTATGATTTATTTTTATTTTTTGGAGAAATCAAGTTGGGTTACTGACCTTTGATGTTCTTGTTTCTTACCTGCATCTTTTATTGTCACCCTCAGATGCAAAACGTCTTATTGGACGTCGGTTTGATGACAGTGTTGTCCAGTCAGACATGAAACTCTGGCCGTTTACAGTTATCAACGATTCCGCACGCCCCAAAGTTAAGGTGGAGTACAAGGGCGAGAACAAGACCTTTTACCCAGAAGAGATCTCCTCCATGGTGCTGCTTAAAATGAAAGAGGTTGCTGAGGCATATCTTGGCAAGGTACTTCTGTTTGCTTTGGCTAAGCACCGTTAATGAACTTAGATTTTTTTCAGTTGTAGAACTGGATCTCTGCATAAGTAAAACACACCTTAAGCTTCCATTGTTTAGACTAATACATCCCTTAAAATCACAGAGATGCTCACAGGATGTTGTACTATTTGTGTCCTGTTTACTACAGTTCTGGATTTTAATAGACTAGAGGTCTGTCAGCTGCAAAATCACAGTTCAAAATGACAATAATATTTCACTAAATTCTATAACCTGCAACCTTTTCCTTTTTGTAGACTGTCACAAATGCTGTAGTGACCGTGCCTGCCTACTTCAATGACTCTCAGCGCCAGGCCACCAAAGATGCAGGGACAATCTCTGGCCTTAATGTCCTTCGTATCATCAACGAACCCACTGCTGCTGCTATTGCTTATGGCCTGGACAAAAAGGTAAAATATTTCTTCATGTCTTCTGAAAGATGTGGTCTGTTTTTTAATGCTGCAACATGTATTTGTCCTCATAAAGGATTATTCTATTGATTACTTGCTTAGTAAGCTTTTTAGTCAGTAAAATGTTTGAAAATGCTGAAAATTGTCAATCTGTGATGTTTTGGAATGTCACGTTTTTCCAACCAGTAGTGAAAAACCCAAATATACTGAGTTTTCAGTCAAATAGAAACCAAAAAGTATTCACTTTTGAGAAGCAATTTAAGAATATTTTTGTGAACAATTCAACTATCAAAACTTTTTCTGAATCATTTTCAATTCTGTAAGTAATAGATCAATCCAAAAATTTAGTAGCTCTGCAATTTTGCATTAACAACTGTACAGAGAGTTTGTTCACCTGTGATGTTCTAAACTAAAGTACACTATGCTACCTGTGTGACTTCCAGGGAGTGTTTGTGGATGTATCCAAGTCTTTTACTTAATACAAATTCCAGTAAAGTAATCTCTAATTTTAGGTTGGAGCTGAGAGAAATGTGCTCATCTTTGACCTGGGCGGTGGCACATTCGATGTCTCCATCTTGACTATTGAAGACGGCATCTTTGAGGTGAAGTCCACAGCAGGTGACACACATTTGGGTGGTGAAGACTTTGACAACCGCATGGTCAACCATTTCATCTCCGAGTTCAAACGCAAACACAAGAAAGACATCAGCGACAACAAAAGGGCAGTTCGTCGTTTGCGCACAGCATGTGAGAGGGCAAAGCGCACTCTGTCGTCGAGCACCCAGGCCAGCATCGAAATCGATTCGTTGTACGAGGGCATCGACTTCTACACCTCGATCACCAGAGCCAGGTTTGAGGAGCTGAATGCCGACCTGTTCCGAGGAACCCTGGAGCCCGTGGAGAAGGCCCTCCGTGACGCCAAGATGGACAAGGCTCAAATCCACGACATTGTCTTGGTGGGGGGTTCTACTCGCATTCCCAAGATCCAGAAGCTGCTGCAGGACTTCTTCAATGGAAAGGACCTCAATAAGAGTATCAACCCCGATGAGGCTGTCGCGTACGGTGCAGGTATAACCCCTGTGTGCTCATAAATCAAATAGTAGCTAACTTGCATTGCTGAGCTACAAATGAGCTTCACATTTAAACCTCACATCCACACTTTTGCTCTGCAGCTGTGCAGGCAGCCATCTTGTCAGGCGACAAATCTGAGAATGTGCAGGACCTGCTGCTGCTGGATGTGACCCCCTTGTCTCTCGGCATCGAGACTGCAGGAGGGGTCATGACTGTTCTCATCAAGAGGAACACCACCATCCCCACGAAGCAGATGCAGACCTTTACCACCTATTCAGACAACCAGCCTGGTGTGCTCATTCAGGTAAGACCACCATGTTTTTCCTGCATACGCCTAAAAAGAATACTGAAATATTTTGCTATCCTAGGAGCTTTAGTAAAAAAGCAGCTGGACTCCTTTTTTAAGTTTTCACCACTCATCCAAGAGGTTTCTTTAGACTTCTTTTTTTAATTTAACCTCCTAAATAGAATTCCAGTTGCTTTTTAATAAAACACCTCAGATTACCATAACCTGGATAGCTGAGAATCTACACAGACCAATATTAGATGGCTTAACCTCACATTGTATGCACAGGTGTTCGAGGGTGAAAGGGCCATGACCAGAGACAACAACCTTCTGGGGAAATTTGAGCTGGTTGGAATCCCACCAGCCCCACGTGGTGTTCCTCAGATTGAGGTGACTTTTGATATCGATGCCAACGGCATAATGAATGTGTCTGCGGCTGACAAGAGCACTGGGAAAGAGAACAAGATCACCATCACCAATGACAAAGGTAACCTGAACAACAACTTAAACACTGTGTCTTATTTGGGAAATGTGACACAAGCGATTCAGCGTTTTGTGGTCTTTGAAATGTAATCCATCTTTCTCTCTGCTGGTCAGGTCGCCTGAGCAAGGAAGACATTGAGCGCATGGTCCAGGAAGCGGAGCAGTACAAGGCTGAGGACGATGTGCAAAGAGAGAAGGTGACTGCCAAGAACGGGCTGGAGTCCTACGCCTTCAATATAAAGTCCACTGTGGAGGACGAGAAGCTGAAGGACAAGATCAGCGATGAAGACAAGCAGAAGATTCTGGATAAGTGTACCGAGGTCATCAGCTGGCTGGATAGAAACCAGGTCTGTGTTTGTGAGGTTTTAATTTTAAAATAACTGTCACCTTGGCGGGATAGATATCTGACTCCATCTTTGTGTGTGTTCCTCAGTCTGCAGAGAAAGAGGAGTTTGAGCACCAGCAGAAGGATCTGGAGAAGCTGTGTAGCCCCATCATGACCAAGCTGTACCAAAGTGCAGGCGGGGCTCCGGGTGGGATGCCCGGCGGCTTCCCCGGAGCAGGTGCTGCTCCTGGAGGAGGCTCCTCCTCCGGCCCCACCATCGAGGAGGTCGATTAAACTAGAGGTTCAACAGGCATGCATGAGCTCTTTCCGCTTGGGAGGCTGGCGTGAAGGTTTATCGCGTTTATATTATCATAAGTAGTCTGAACCATTAATCACATTTCTTTGGGGATTGTTAAGACAATTGTTTTGTATGCCCGGCTAAAGCCAGCACTTGCACTGTGACTTTTTGGTAAGCAGTATTTCTGAGCAACTATTCTTCTTTCACCTAAACTAGTTCATGTTTGTATTACACCAGTGTTTTTCTTGGTTGTTCTATGAAGCTGAAATGGTTGCTATTGCACAATATTTTGCAAAATGAGACTAAATAAAAGATTCTTTTGGTTTTGGATTCATTGTTTCAGTGTTTTAAAGGTTTCTTGTGGCGTCAAGTGTAACTATGAAAGTGTTTGGGTCCTACTAATGGCTTTACATTATTCCACTGATCAACAGGTCGCTGTAATTCTTCAGCAGCATTGGAGGACACAGCAACAGGGTTTGAGCGATCATCTTGAGTTCGACACAGCTAAGTTAGTGATGGAGCAAAATTACAAATCCTCAAATTCAGTAGATACAGAAGTATGTGCATAGCATGACCACAACACGGTTTACAGTGAATAGTATTACAAGCTTAAATATTTAGATCTGTTGTAGACAAGATGTTTACAATTGCTGATCCTAAACTGTATCAGCTACACTACTGGTACCACACTAGTATGTATGTCCACTTCTAAATCAAAGTTTTATTAACGCAGAAGACAAGACATACAACAACAATTTTTTTCTCTTTTATTTTTGCTTATTCAGGAATATTTCGATTCACAGGATGTGTTTGTAAAGTTCATGGGAGTATTGGTTCCTCTTGGCCGCGTATTACGGACCGGTGCTGGTACAGGTGTGAGAGCGTGTGTCCAAGTGTTCGGCAGGTCAGCGTGAGTTAGAGTTTCTTGGGCATTCATGCATCCGGTAGGCACACATGTAGAAGATACCTAAAAGAGAGTGACGTGATTATTAGCAAGAGGAGTACAACATGTGGCCTGAATGACAAAATGCAATCCTGAGCTGCGTACCTGAGAAGAATGTGAGCACCACTGCCACCCAGCCCATTATGTAGGACCAGGAGAATCGCCAGCTGCCATAGCGTTTACCGTAGTAATTCACTGTCACTCCTGTGTAGACGGCCATCGCCAGCAACACAAAGAAGCCTAAAAAGAAAGATGAAATCATTACTGATAAAAAAGCAAATCTTCACTGCAGCAGGGGGGGGGGCTTGCATGTGGCGACGGGGGAGGAGCTTTACAGGAGATGAAGAAGAGGATGCCGGCTGCGAATGTCTTGTCAAACCCGTCGAAGGAGGAGTAGTGGATGAAGGCCATGACCCCGATCACAATGCCAATGAAACAAGCCAGCAGGGAGAGAATCATGAAGGCCCGGGTGGCATCCCAGTACGCTGCGAGAGAGAGAGTGAGCAGGAGAGACCAGACGTGTGAGTATCTCTGGTACAAAAATGAAGAAATTAGAGTGTAGGTATATTTCATTTTCAGTTTTTTTGATGCTTGTCCTCATCTTACAGACAGCTCTAGCTTGCCATCTAGTGTTTGATGAATTAAAGCAAATGAAAGCCCTTTTTAAAACTATATTACTGTTGCAAATTATATCACAAACTATCCCTTAAAAAGTCTCAGAATAATCCTCATACATCCCCTCTTACAAAAACAGGTTTCTTGGTACCATTTTCATGCTAGTGGCATAATTTCAAACTTCTGTGCACTTGAATCTCAGCTATATTTTAACAGCCACATAAAAGCTGCAACGGGAAGTAACCCCTGTGTTGATCAGAGTCACGGACTGATTGTCAGCAAACTAATAAATATAAATGAGGATGTGCCTGCCTGTACACATGCAGTGGAAGGCGCCCAGCCGGTCTTACCGATGCTGTCTGTGTGTGTCATGCATTTCCCGGGCACACAGTACCGCCAGAGGCCCTGGTGCATGTAATTGCTGGAGTGACGATACTGCATCCAGTAGTCAGTTGCCGTGGAGACAATGAGGAGTATGTTCCCAACTCCGGCACAGAACAACCCACCTCCCATGAAGCTGTACATCCTGCCAAAAAAGCACTGACTGACACGCAGAGAGAAAGACAGAGCACGTCAGGGCCGCGCCACATCTGGCCACCGCTGCACCAATTACGGCGAGTGCTTCCTGTTGCCGAGCAGGGGAGCAGCGCTGGGTTTGAATAAAACAATATCTAAATGCATTCAGCAGGATGCCGCAAATGTTACGCTGGAGCTAGACAGATCTGATTGTAGAAACACAACTCATTAGGCAACGTGGACAAGCAGCCAGCTCAGTCTGACAACCCATTAACCTCTAACACTGACAGACTGAGGGGGTTTCTCCATCTTCAAAAAATGCATGCAGCGCTGATAAAACATTTTTCAAAACCCACAGATATTTATGTTGAATTATAAGCAAGCCTGGAGGATTTTAAAAACTCCAATGTGGAATGTTGAACAGTGTATAAAATTGACTCAAGAATATTTTTCCAGCTAGATTCAGTGATGCGTCCATGAAAACATGGCATCTTGTTTGAATATTTTATATAAAGTGGGCTTTTACACCCTTGTTGTGAGAGAAAATCTGGGTTCAAGAAACAAAGTGCCATCTCAATTTAAAAAAAACAAAAAAAACAACACATTTTATCTATGTGAGATACAGAATATTGCATTGGACATTTCACACATGGAAGTTTCCATATAGATGACATACCTTTATCTTATTTTTCCTTAGAAAAAGTCAGAGATTCCAATATTTCAGGTTGCCAAAGCACAGAGGAGCCCAATATTGCCCAGGATGGCAGGAAAGTTTTGTTTGTGCGTAGGAAACCAAGCGAACAAACGGGCTGATGGAACAATGGAGCGTGCTGAGCCTCCACCAATCACAGAGGATGAGTTTTGTGTTTTAGGGAATCTGCTGAAAATACAAAACTGTTAAAGCGCTGCGCACATCTCAGTAATACTGATGACACGGGGCTTTTAATTCAAAATGCTCCACGACCGCACACAGTAAACTCACGGCCTGCAATAAGCTCGGCCACAGCACTGCTGGAAAAGAGATTATTTCAAATGGTAACAAAAATATATATATTAAAAAAAAAACACCCAAAAACCCAGCCTCCTCTGTTATTTAGAATTATATTTTAGTTGATGTGTTTTCGCTTAATCCTTCTGCCTATTATGCTGATAGTAAAGTTATTATTTTCAGTCAATATCAAGTCATTTTAAACACAATTGTCACACTGGTATGCAGATTATTATAACTCAGATTGTGCAATTTACATAAAATCAATCATTTCTTTTCCTTTCAGCGTGTGGTGTAAAAGATGAAGATACAACCGTAACCGCACTCACTGCACAGTCTTTTTTAATGTCCCTCCATCCACTGCAACAACAGCAGAAAGACTGCGGGTTCTTCAATTAATCTCATGTTTTCAAGTTCCTGTCTTTTAATTGGCACTCAGCCAGCCCAGAGGAATTCATTTAATTACGAATGTAAAATTGCTCAGACATTTATAAAGTCAAACACATGTAATGATGAATTGGAAATGGAGCTAAACAGAATGAATTCACGGCACCACATGCGTTTGGTTAATTTGGCAGAACAGAGTGTGATGAGTAAAGCAAACAGAGATGTGGCTTCGTTCAGTTTGGGTGAAGGAGCTGCAGCGGAGGGGGGGTTTATTTTCTGTTGTTGCACCTTGTAGAAAGAGCCGGGGCTGAGTGTTGTAGGTGAGAAATGAGTATTTTACTCACTTATTAGATGGTGTAGCTGAATACGAGGAGGTGTTGCTTCTGAAGGATGTTGGGAATGAAAAGATTTTAATCAGAGAGGTAATTATAGTCATCAGTGTGGCCCATTTTGAAGTTTATTTTCAGAGAGTGAAGAATAAATCATGGGAAAAAAAAGCTGTGAAACCAGAAGAAAGTCTAGTTTATTAGCTGTTTTATGTCATTTATAAATAAGATTTGCTGGTACTAGCATTAGGATCATTAGTCAAATATGCTCCAATGCAAATAATTTGGCTTAGGCAGCGCTCGGGATGCTTAAAGACTGTAAAAATGTAGCAAGAGTTGAATAACAAGCTGCCGCTAGTGTCATCAGGGTAGTATGGTCTTTAAATACACAACTGGTAAACACATACTGTAAGAAGTCCTGTCTGCAGAAGTGCCATATGTTGTGAAAATGTACATTGAGGCTGACAACTCTCAGCACAATGCTCTTAAATTGATCTCATTATTGCAAAGTCAACCTTTGTGTTCACACCTTGTTCAAATCCACGAAACACTGTTTAAAAAAAAATTAAATTCTATGTCAGTTCCCAAAGTTTCCACCAAATATGTCACCCCTGAATTTTGGTGAAATTTATTTAAAGTGATGCACAGGAGGATTTCCATCTCTGGGTTTGAATCCAAACAAAAAAAAAAAAAAAGAAGACAGCGTGTCAGGTTTGTGACACAGAAGGTGAGGTTCAAGTGCAAAAAAATAAATAGAAAGAAAGTATTATTCTCAGTGAAATCATCAGATTTAAAGGAGACCTGGAACAAGCCGTTGCCGTTGGGACAGTGAGAAATAAGATCTACTAAGAAGAAAACAAATCGCTTAAATTGCAAAGTATGTTAACGGGTAAATAGTTTCATTTGTTTTGGAGTTCCTGTTGGGAGCACGAGGTATTCTTCGCAGTAGATGTGTCACAGGAGGGAAAGCACAGGTGTATGCAATGAAATTAATGATGTGGTGAGCAGTTAGACGCAGCTCTGCAATTGTTTTCTTTCTTATTGTTCCTGTAACAAATTCTCCTGTAGAATTCAACTGCGGTCGTATATATACTGTATTTATACAGAGTTGTAACTGTAGCTGCCTGCGGATTACAACAATTTCTTGTATAAACTGCATACGCACCGGCCATAAATAAGTGTCTTTAATCTTTATGACCCAGAATTGAGATCTACTGACTCAGCGCTGAAACACCTCAAGCAATAAGGGATAAAGATTACAGCAGCTTACATTTTTATGGATTAAGAACATTTATCCAAAGGCAGCATTGTATGATAAATTGTAGTTTATTCAAATTTACAGAATATAGAAACCAAAGAGTAATAATTTAACTTAATGTAAAGAAAAATAAATGGTTAAAAAAAAGTCTTTTCTCTGGGCATCAGTGTAAAGTTATCAATAATGGTCTTAGCTGCTTAAATCAAGGTGGTATTCAAAACCACGCTTCATGAACTGTAACGTGAAACTGTTTTGTTAATTTCTCTCCATCAGTTTTTACAGTAGCCTGCTATTAAT